TAGATTGCAATTGTGGGACATCTCCGGACATGAGAAATTTGGAGATATGACAAAAGTAAGTTTGCCAAAAAATGTTAAATGATATATTATTCGAACCAAATTTCTTTTTATATATAACTCGATTTTTATCTTTCGTGATTAGTTTTATTATAGAGAAGCTCTTGGAGCCCTCGTTGTGTACGATGTAACACGGTCCCATACTTTTGAAGGAGTCTCTAAATGGAAATCTGATCTAGATGATAAAGTGACCTTACCTGAAGCTTGGGGCGGTGGTCCTATTCCAGTTGTATTATTGGCTAATAAGGTAAATGAGAATGTGAATTTTTATATTATGTTTTAAGCTTATAGCTGAACTTTCGTCTTATATATTATTTGTAGTGCGACCTAATCCATGAAGACATTGAAATATCACAATATTGTAAAGAGAATGGATTCATAAAATGGTGAATAATTACATAATTTTGGTAAAATTATGTCAGAATACATTAATTCTTAATATGTCAATAAATGAAATTAGGTTTAAGACTTCGGCGTTGAATAATCAAAATATTGAAGAAGCTACAAAATTCTTGGTTTCAGAGATATTAAAAATCGAACAACAGCATCAAAAGAAAGATAGTGAAGGAAAACGTGGTTATTTAACTAATGGACGCGAGAGCGTCATAAGAGTTGGGACCGAAAAGAATCCACCCAGTAGCTGCTGCTGATTTCGGTATTTTCGATATTATTGGTCACGTACTAAACAATGCTTTTTAACGGATAAAAAATTCCAAGTATATTATACAAACTCACGTGATCACCGAATTATAACATCTGATTGAGATGAGCTATGCGTTCTCGCCTTATTAAGGATTGTATGAGCTTTGACAAATCTTTATCGGAATAAAATGCGAGGAATAGCATTCCCTTTTCGATAGTTCTCAAACCTTAATGCCCCTATATAATCTTTTTTGTTTCTGTAATGATATCATTCAAATGTGACATATGATTTCTGCATAACTTTTAATTGTTTGTTGATAAACACATGAAATATTTTTGTACAATAAGGTTTATAGCAAATTAATACTTATAAAGTAAGCTTACGTATCTGGATCAAAGCTCTATTTGTATCTGTTCACAAAATTAATACTGTACATGTTCATTACAATTTAAATTTATAAAAAAAAAATGTCTAATGAAAATGAAAATATTTCGAATGGTATCAAAATTTCCGATAAGGTTTCTAATCTTCAACAAAATGGTAAGTTAGAAATTCCTTTAATGACTAGTGCGAAATACAATAGGGAATGAATTACACACTTAATTTTGATTTTCAAATTACATAGCAAGGTTTCTTTTCACTAGTTTTGATGCTGTCAATTTAGGACAAGGTTTTCCTGAGTAATGTATATTAAAATCCATGTGCTAACTCCTTCATAAAATGTTATCTGATAAATAAAATTTTCTTTATTAAATAAAAAGTGACCCACCATCGGATCAAATTAAAGACATTGTAACAAGAGCAATTTTTGAGCCCGATTGTAATCAATACGCGTAAGCTTTGATGTCTTAATAATCTTGAACGATATGTTTCTAAGTAAATCATTTATTTTATATAATAAAATAGTCCTCCTAAAGGTCGATTGCATACCCGCCAAGTATTGGCAAATAGTTTTAGTCCTTTGTTTAATAGAACCTTGGACCCTGAAACGGAAATTATTGTAACTGCTGGTGCTAATGAAGGTTGGTTACCGTGTTATTTATATAAACTTTTATTTTTTTTCAAAAATACAATTTGTTATTTTTAAAAGTACAATTTTTTTTTTTTTTAATATTATACATTATTTTTAGGTCTTACCGACCTTTTCGCTGCGTTCATAGACCCCGGAGATCATGCTATTTTGTTCGAGCCTTTCTATGATCAATACGTCGTATGTATTTATCTGAATTCCAGTTTTTTTTTTCTCCAAGTTATAAATATATAATAATATTTTTAGGCCAACATTACGATGAATGGCGGAGTACCTGTATATGTCCCCTTTCGTCCGACTAGTGATCCGACCAAGAACATGTCTTCGCGTGAATGGAAAATTGACATCAATGAACTTCGTTCCAAAATTACATCAAAAACCAAACTTATTGTCTTTAATAGTCCACATAATCCTACGGGTAAAATTTTCTCGAGGGAAGAAATGATGGAGATTGGAAAAGTAGCACAGGAATTTAATTTACTTGTCATTAGTGATGAAGTGGTACGCATATATAATATATATTTATTTGTTTTTTCTTTG